GGGGACAGGGACGAGGGGGCTGTGCTGGGGAATGGGGACCAGGGGCTGTACTGGGGGACAGGGACTGGGGAGCCTTGCTGGGGGACAGGGACGAGGGGGTAATACTGGGGGGCAGGGTCTGGGGGGCCGTGCTGGGGACAGCTCAGCCTCAGGCCTGGCGCAGCCTCTGCCTTGTGCTGCTTGTGCTGCGTGACTCGGTCTATGCAGGAGCCTCCCCCTCCCCCATTCTGCCCAAGATGGATTTAGCACCTGAAGGTCTTTATTAGAAACACTACAGGGACGTCCCCTGGCCCAGGAGAGCAGTGTGGCTGACAGCCTCTGCCACCACTGTGGACGACACGGGGGCCACATGGGCATCAGGTCGGCCAGGCCTGGCAACTGCCCATGCTCTCCTCATCCTGAGCTGCCCCGGCCACCTGGGTCAGGGGCCCTGAGAAGTGGTGCCTGAGCTCCAAGCCACTGGGGCTGAGCGTCTGCCACTGCAGCTGGTGGAAGTGGTCCTTGGGACCCCTGTCACAGGGCAGGCTGACAGGGTCCTCCGGGCACATCACCACATTCTCAGGGGGTGCTGTGGGCAGCCACAGGACGCTACCCATGCAGCTGGCTGGGGGGTGAGGGGTGGGGAGCTGACCTGGGCCCTGGAGACAGTCCGCCGAGGGAAGGGGCCCTGTATCCCCTTCTGAGTCTAGACGGGGACCTGTGGAGGCTCCAGGAGCAGTGTCCCCGCAGGGGTCTCAAGCCCCAATTCTGCAATCGGAGGTAAGGCAAATAGAGGCTGTTGTGGGGACCATGCCAGCCCCCTAGTTCTTGGAGCTGGTACCCACAGCCTGCTGCCGCCCTGCTCTGCCCCTTGGCCACCCTCCTGGGCCTGAGCACATCCTTCTCAGCCAGCCTGCATTCCTCGGAGGTGGGGCAGAATCTTCCCATTTCCACCCTCGGCCCCCAGACCTCAGCCCCCCCGTTCCCCTGCAGCCCCAGGAATTGTGCCACAGCCTGGAGTCTCCATTCCCCAGCAGCCTGGCATTTCACAAAAGCCCACAGCTGGGAGGTGTGGTTGGTCAGACCCACCATCCTGACGAGTCTCACGGCATCAGAGCCATACTCCTCTCCCTGCCCAGCAACCGCCGCCCAGGCTTGCCGTCCAGGGGCTCTCCCTGGTGTCCGGGCATCACGGCCTCCGTGCCTGGCCGTTGCCCTTCCATCAGGTGCATTCCCAGGCCTTCAGCAGGACGCCATAGCCACTCTGGGCAGCTGGTCACAAGGGCCCTGCCAGGCCAGGGAGGAGGCTGGGGCCCGACAGGCAGGTAAGGTTGGCGTGCAAGGCAAGGCCAACCTGCCACAGAGGGAAACTTCCTGCATTCAGAAAATCCCAGTGTGGGCCAAATCCTGCGTGGGAAGACACAGCCTGCTGGCCCTGGGGTCTTTCTGCTTCACCTGGGCCTGGCCCTCAGGAGGGACCAGTGAGCTGGCCACACGGCAGCACTGACCCACGTCTCCCAAATCCAACCCCAGAGGTGTGGTGAGGAAGCCCACCCCAAGTGGCTGCAGCAAAAGGGAGAAAAGAGTGGTCAGTAGGGAAGGCCCCAGACAGGCCTCCGGCACGACAGGACCGGGGTCTGAGGCCATGTAGGAGGCTTGAATGCCAGGCCCTGGGCGGGCTCCGCCTTGGGCCCCCAACCTGTCTCTGGACCAGCTATGACCGTCAGAGCTGGGTCACATGGCCCAAATGGGGGTCAGGGACTGGGGGCAGTTCCTCAAAGGGGAGCAGGGTCCCCAGCGGAAGGGGTGCTGGGTGCACGTGGGCAGCCCCTGGCCGTCCTGACTGTCCCTCCTTCCTCCTGCAGAGCTCGGCACAGGTGGTCTCCGGAAGAGGCTACTCGGTAAGTGCCCCCTCCTGGCACTTGGGCCACGAGTCCCTCATCTGCCCAGAGCTCCCCCACCTGGAGAGGGCCCCACCCCTTCTCTGCCCCTCTGGAGGCCCCCCCACCTGACTTTCCCGAATCCTGCAGCTTGAGCCAGACCTTGGGGTGCAGGCCTTGGGATGTTTCTAGCTCCGCAGCTGTGCTGGAAGGGGTCGTCGGGGGCCGGGCATCAGGAGGGGTCTGTACGGGGACGTGGCAATGGGCCAGGCTCCCCCTGGTACCCATCCTTGTAGAACACTGTGGACCGGCTGTGTCCTGTCCAGACCCCTGTGGGGAGGCTGGGGCCGGGTCCTGACCTTGGCTGGACCCTGTGCCCGGCTCCATCCTCGGCCCCTGAGGAGCAGTCCGCCCTCCCCTGGGCTTCACTTCGTTTTCTAAGTATCGGGAGGACGGTAATGACATCATAAACCCAGCGCTCCGTAAAAGCATTTCTGCAGATTTACAGCGCCCGGCCTGTTGGGTGGGCTCGATTCCGCCATCTTGTCCTGGATTCACTGCACGTCCCGGGCCTCAGGCAGCTCCCTAAATCACAGTGACATTTACGGGATGGGTAATTAACCCGTTAATTACCTGATTTGTCAGGCGAGGACGGTGTGTGACAGCCCCGCCCACTGTGGTCCGATTAGTGGAGAAGGAACCAGGGCAGCCCTGGGTCTGGTGTCCACTGCGTGCTTCTCCCCTCCCTTTACTCAGCCCCCCTCACTCCCACTGGCCCTGACGCAACCTCACCTCCTCTCTCCAAGGCCCCGGGCTCTGCGTTGGCCTCTCCCTGACCTGCACCCCGGGGCCCTTGGACTCGGTGGAGGCTGCAGCACACTAGGGAGGCAGCGTGTCCCTGGGAGAGAGCCTGCGCAGGAAAGCCCCCTTCCTGCTCTGTAGCTGCCCAGCCTGGCAGGTTCCTGTACCGCGCAGACCTTGACTGTCTGTCTGTCAACTGGGGATAGTCGAGGTGCCCCTCGCGGGGTAGGGGGCCACACACGTCCCTGCCCCTCTCGGGCTGGGGGGCCACACGCGTCCCTGCCCCTCACGGGGTGGGGGGTGGGGGGCCACACACGTCCCTGCCCCTCACGGGGTGGGGGGAACCACACACGTCCCCGCCCCTTGTGGGGTGGCTGTCACCTTGGTTCCCTCACTTGTGCACGGCTCCCCTCCCCCATGCCCCTGTCCTGAGAGGTCAGTCACCAGCCCAACACGCTGCTCCGTGATGTCTCAGTCACACTTCTGTCCCGAGCACCCACTGGGCCACAGCATGGACAGTGCAGACTCACATGCCCTGCTGTTGGGAGTGGACGCTGCAGGGAGGGGAGGGCAGACAGTTTCATGGTGCCCTGTGGAGCCTGGCAGGGGCTGTGCAACAAGATCGTGAGCGCGCAGTGGGGCAGCCCCTTGGCAGCTTAGGGGTGTCCCCAACCAGCTGCCAGGCAGGCACCGTGGGCAGAGCCGTCTCCACACCTGAGATTGGGCAGGAGTCGGGGGCTCCACAGGCAGGAGGTCTGGGCCCCGGAGCAGGGCCCCTGTGTGCACGGGGTTCCACGCTGTGTGGGTGTGACCTGGCGTCTCGGGGTGTCAGCAGTGCTGGGGTGGGACGTGTCTGGGGCTCCCGAAGGCAGGCTCTGCCTATGTGGCCCAGTCCCAGGAAGCTGGTCCCCACGGAGGGCTGGCTCCTCCGCTGGCTGTGTCAGTGCAGGGACACCCACTTAGCTCCCTGCTGTGCCCAAGGCCCTGGGGCAATGGGACCTCCCCGCGGAGCCTCCTTGCCAGGCCCCGGGGCAGCCCTTCTGCTGCCAAATCCCCATCCGTCACTTGAGGTCCTCTCCCCCAGACAACTGCAGCAAATGTTTGCTGAGAAAGAGCCATAATTAACACGCCAGCTGCTCGAAGCCTGACCCCTGCAACTGCCGAGCGACAGATGGCGGCAGGGAGGGGCCAGGCTGCACGGGGCTGTGGTTCCCACCCAAACACAGGCAGGCTGCAAGACCCTGACATGTGCACACGGCATCTAATGTGTGCAGACGGGGCCTGACGTGTGCAGACAGGGTCTGACAGGTGCAGACAGGGTGTGACGTGTGCATACAGGGTCTGATGGGTGCAGACGGGGTCTGATATGTGCAGATGGGGTGTGATGTGTGCAGACAGGGCCTGGCGTGTGCAGACAGGGTCTGACGGGTGCTGATGGGCCCTGACGTATACAGATGGGCCCTGATGTATACAGATGGGGTGTGACATGTGCAGACAGGGTCTGACGGGTGCAGATGGGCCCTGA